AGTCAGTAGTAAATAAATCAGAAAAAATTTATTTATTTCTCTATTCGATGACGTTATTTAAGTCATGGATATATAGATATCCACCACGAGACTGAATGGCCAAAAATTTTTAATGACATAGATTGTGATCTCACCAATATGCCTTATTATCAGACATAGATATTGAAGACTGAGAATAGATAAATAGAACGCATTTTCAGAGACAACTTTAATTGTTTGAAAAGGTTGAGAATTGCCAACGTTTGAAATCTGAAAAAAAATCAAAAAAAAAAATCATTAGACAAACTTAATTCATCACCAAGTTATAGAACATATATATATATATATATATATATATATATATATATATATATATATATATATAACTTCCTTCCCTATTCCAGAGATAATCTCCAGATTCAAATTGATATGAACAGTTTTGAAATACATCCTTTCTTCTATCACTTCTATCTGATATGAACAGACTGAGAATGAAAATATATATATATATATATATATATATATATATATATATATATATATACTGTGATCCCTTTAATAAGAATAGATAGAATATGTAACGTTGATAGATAGATTCAATTCCTGCGCACGATGACGATAGATAGATGCAGCAATGTTTTCAGCTGAACGGCGTAAACGAACACGCAACACATCTGCCACCGACCCAGTTTGTTTGAATTTACAACAATTTTTCCAATATCTCTCTTGAAACTTTAACATGTTGTTTGTTAATCTTTCCATGGTTGAAATTGCTTAAATCTGAAAGAAAAAAAAAAAAAAAAATTTAGACGCTTAAACTTAATTCACATTTAAAAATCGTCAAAGTTATTGGAACTCTGATTTTAAAGTTCGAACTTATATCATGCTTTACCTTTATTCACGTCGAATTCAGTTATGATGCCAAAAGTGGGCTTCAAATCGTGTATTTGGCATTCTTGGTAAGCAATATTTGCTATCTCCAGTTTCAGGATTTAACTGGTCGAACTTCAAGTACTTAAATGGGTCATAATGGTAAATTTTTAATATATACTTCTAATACAGATGGATTAAATTTAATTTTTTGTTTTGTTTTTACTTTTTTCGGGGATTTAATTCAATTAAAAAAAAACTTTGAGAGTTTTGGTGATTAACAAAGATGGCCCACCAAGTGTGCTCCAGGATTCAACAGACGCATATCCCTTTTTGGTTGCTGAAGGTGCAAACCAATTCATTCATAGAGAATTCAACTGTTCTGGGTTATGTTAGTAATGTTTTCATCAGTAAAATCCTGGGAGGCCTACAGAAGTGAGGTCTCCTGATTGATCTTCAAAAGTTCTTACAATGTGAAAATATTTTCTGTGAACTTTAACTAACCCGCAAAAGAACAATTCAATCAATCTTATAAGGACGTTTAATTAAAACGGATCAAAGACCATCAACGAGTAAATAAATCAGTGTTAGACTTTCACCTGTTTGGTCCCTTGAAAGCGTTCAAGAGGCACGAAGTTTAAAAGTGACGATTCTCTTGTTTGGCGATCAGTCCGTTATTTAATGGGGAAAAGTCATGGCAGTGCTGGGAAACTATGTTGAAAAATTAAAAAAATAACGCCTAAATAAGTCCTTATACCGAAAAATTCACCTTATTTATTGAATAACCCTCCACTAATCGTTTAAAATTTTAATGAATCCGCATCTATATAATGATTTATCCTAATCTTTTTCTGACAATTGGATGCCTTATTATCTCATCCTTTTTACAAAAAGTTGTTGAATATATATTTCACTAGCAGACTTCGCCCACTCTATCGCTTCGCAAAGTAAGATATATTCACTACTTGAAATATTTGAAACAATAATTTTAAATGAATATTTCCTTTATAAATTGGCTTGTTATAGGTAAGGAAAGTTTTACGAATAGATGCCAACTTGTTGAAGGCCAAGTAAAATGCAAAATTTCAAACACTTTTCTGCACTATATAAAGACAATATTTCTAAACAGATCTATTTTTGATATGGAAATCAAAACATTCCTTTAATAAAAGAACATTAGTAAATTAATGAAATATACTTTTTTTAAAATCAATATGCAAATTAGTTAAACCTGAAAAGTGATATTGCCTAGATAATATATAATACAGATATTGAGCTTTTAGTGTGTAGATCACTTTCTCGAGGTAGTTGGTCATCTCGAGGTGGTGTAATGTCTAGGAAGCTTGTCACGCTAAAACAATCATGAATCATTTCGGCCTTGTGCCACCACCAAGCTACGCTTGGAAAATCACATACTTACCGGCCCTAGGGATCTGTCCCTGTGATGGTGGTATCACGGCTACGACTAGCTTGGACCGGCTCTAACCAGCTATGACAAGCCAAGACCAGCTATGACTAACTTGGACCAGGTCTGACCAGCTTGGACAAGCTAAGACCAGCTTAGACCAGAGGCCCGAGTGAAAAACAGACCTTGTGCCACAACCTGACCTAGTGTAAAACTGACTCAAGTAAATCTCCACTTTCTTGAGTGGTTTGTAACGCATCTATTTATCACCTCTCAGTTGCGTCTCTGTCTTTGGGCAGAGTGCGCTCGGGGGCGACTCCATCAAAGGACAGAGTTGCAACTGAGAAAAATAATACTGAAAGGTGTCCAGCCCTGGGGAACAGCTGCCTCGGGCAGCTGTTCCCCAGGGCTGGACACCTTTCAGTATTAGGGGAGTGTTCGATGCTCGCACTGAGGCCAGCGCAACCGACGGTTGCGGGGTCTGAGGAGAACTTTTGTTCCTTGCCCGGGTGTATGCGCTCGGGATCCTACCTTAAAAAGACCATGTGTCGCACTTCGTCTCCGTAGGGAGACAGAGTAAATACTGTGTATAAATTACTTATTGGAGTGATTTGTAACACATCTATTTATCATCTCTCAGTTGCGTCTCTGTCTTTGGGTAGAGTGCACTCAGGGGCTACTCTGTCAAAGGACAGAGTTGTAACTGAATATAATTATACTGAGAGGTGCACATCCCTGGGAAACACTTGCCCGAGACCTCGCCTTCCCATTGCAGCAGAGAGAGGGATCGGTGCTCGCATCGAGACCAGCGCAACCGACGGTCGCAGGGGCTGCGGGCATTTTTTGTTCCTGGTCCGGGTGTATGAGCTCGGGTGCCCGCCTTAAAAAATACCTTTTGTCACAACTCTCCTTAGTTATAGATTGAAGTTAGAGAAACATAACAGCTTAATTAGCGGTTATGTTTCTCTAACTTCAATCTGTAACTAATTCTATTATCCCATCTTTACACTATATTAATTTTATCTTATAAATGTTCCCTTGTTCTGTCTCTCATTAAATAAAAATAATTGTTTGTACGGAAAATAAGGACCTACGTACATCAAATGGTCTTTATATTTAGTGGAAGCAGAAGAATTATCGTTGAACTTTTAAAAGGTAAGCTTAAACATTAATTCAATACTTAAATGCAGCGATCAATTTTGAGTTGTTCTGTAGTTTATTGATACATATCGGATCTACTCCTCCCTAGCTATTGTGATGATGGCCAAACCAGGAGTCCTCCTTAAGAGCTGGCTTAAATGCCGTCCGATAGAGCTGCTTTTAATCTAGTTTATAATAAAACGAGCACTGCAATTTTGGATACAAAAGTAAAATAAGAGTTATTCCCCTTCAACCATGAAAGCAACGATAATGGCTAGTATAATATATTAATATATCTATTTTTAACTTCGCGTAATCTGGTAACCCTGGATCTGAGCTCAACGAAAATCGTTTTCTGCGTCGAACTTTCATAGGACTTTTAAATGAGCTATGAATCATTGAAATCGGACCAGTGGGAGCGAAGGAGTTACTTGGACACACACAAACACACATACACTGTAATTTATATATAAGATGTTCTATGGCAAAATGTGGGGGGAGCAATTTATAGTTTGGTTCTATAAGAAATACGATCTCACATCTTATAGCCATCTGTTAATTAAATATTAAGGATCTGCAAGCCTTTGGGCTGCATTTGAAAATGCAACAGTATTAAACTTTTACTTGCTTTTCTTAAAACGAAAATTTGAGCTTATATTAAAGGCAGTTGCAACAGTCATGAGCTAGTAACCATTAGCAGATGTTTCATCTTTTATTTTCATCTTTTATTTTCAAATGATCCGTTCTGGATAATGGCTTTTTCTGCTTCTCTTTTCTAGGAAAGTTATGGAAATCTGGAATTTATTGGGATCTGCGACAAGACCCTATCCATACAGACTTTTTCGATGTGTGACTGTCAATTAAGGTGAATAAACTGAATGCAATACAAGGGCTTTGTATTACTGTATTACTTTCAGTAGGGGTAACAAGACTTTCGGACCACACTAAAGATAGACAGGTAAAGATAGATAGATAGATAGATAGATAGATAGATAGATAGATATGCACAGACTGAGATAGATAGATAGATATGCTCAGACTGAGATAGATAGATATAGATAGATACATAGATATGCACATAGATAGATAGATAGATAGATAGATAGATAGATGATAGATGCCTAGATAGATAGATGCCTGAGATAGATAGATAGATAGATAGATAGATAGATAGATAGATAGATATTCACAGATAGATAGATAGATCGATATGCACAGACTGAGATAGATAGATAGATAGATAGATAGATAGATATGCACTGCCTGAGATAGATAGATAGATAGATAGATAGATAGATAGATAGATAGATATTCACAGATAGATAGATAGATCGATATGCACAGACTGAGATAGATAGATAGATAGATAGATAGATAGATAGATAGAGGGTGATCCGAAAGTCTTGTCACCCTTACATAGGGTGACAATCATTTTCTCTTTCAAATTACCGACACAAAATGATGGTGTTCCTAAAAACCTTCTCGCTGTTTGACACCTTCAATGAAAGCGAATAAACTGAAGCTAGTGTTACTGTATTAATTGTTCTCACCTTTTCATTACTTTTCGGTCGGAGGCGTGACAAGACTTTCGGATCACCCCACAGATAGATAGATAGATAGATAGATAGATAGATAGATAAACCTAAAAAAAAAACTGCCCTAGAGAAAATATGTTTTTCCTTTTTGGCGGAAATATTAAAACAGTTTCAATCTGTAAAATGTAATAAAATTGTTTTCAGGAAAATATTCCCCATGTATAATACATAATCAAAATCAGGGGTACGTATATTATGCACAGCTATAAAAATCTTTAAAAAATTGCCGTAAAATAAAATCAGACTTATCATAAAACTAAACTAGAATAATATTATTCTATGTTTAAAACCATTTTTTAAATAAAAGTATGAAACGCTGGCCGAAATGAAACTGGAGAGGTACAGCTGATCGGGTTGGATTACCAAGCAAGGGATGCGTATTATGCATGAGTAGAAGCATTTTTCCATATTTTCAGCACAATATTAGGTGTGCGTATTAGGGATGAAAGTATATTGTACATGGGGAATTACGGTAAATATACACAGTTCCTTTCATACGTTTAATTGATCCTTAACTGCTTTTGGCACCCTTTACAGGACTCTAAATATCAGTTTTCAGCATGACTTTCATTGAATTTATCAGAAAATCATGATCTAGACCAACGATTCTTAAATTATAGAACCCAGTATCACGAATCAAATTACTGGTGACGCGAAAATTAAATACAAACCCTTGAATTTCAGTTTTTATGATATTTCCCAAACGCCTAATATAGAAGGTGATGCGCCAAATAACTTGCAGGAAAGTTCATCAAAACAATTACTGTAAAAATGTTTCTAGAAGAGATAAAGGAAAGGTACGTTACAGCGAAATAGAAAGGAGTAAAGTGTAATATATCAAAGATGAACCATCACGGGACAGCGAGTTTGTTCTTCTCTAGGTTAAACCGCTGCTTGGGGGAAGTGACTCCCAAGAGGGTGCTCCCCCGATTACTACAATCTTAACCTTTCTCAGATCTAGGGTTGTCCGTTATCTTACCCATTTATCCGCAAAAACTGTGCCTCTTACTCTGTAACCCTCTACCTCGAGTGGCTCCCAGGCCTTGTACAGGATGACTATCATTGTAAAAAAGAAAACAAAATATCCACAAAAAAAAAAAAAAAATGCTCCGATACACAAAGACAAACTTACTCGGAAAGCTCTGCGTGATTTCATACATGTTACGGACTGAATAGCAAAGTCACTCCATTTGAATGCTATTGGGGTCTGCGTGAACAGACACCGGACAGCGAGTTCATTATAGTCCAGGCTAAAGAGCTGCGTCGTGGAACTGACTCCCAAGAGGGTGCTCCCCCGATTACTACAATCTTAACCCTCTCAGATCTAGGGTTGACTGTTATCTTACCCACTTATGGGCATAAACTGTGACTCTTAATCTGTAACCCTCTACCTCAAGTGGCTCCCGGGCCTTGTACAAAATGAATATCATTGTAAAAAAGAAAACAACACAATCTCCACGAAAAACGCTCCAATACACAAAGACAAACCTACTCGGAAAGCTCTGCGTGATTTCATACTGGTTATGGACTTGTTAACCCCTTAAATGTTATTGGGGTCTGCGTGAATAAACACCGGACAGCGAGTTTATTCTAGTCCAGGCTAAAGAGCTGCTTTGTCGAACTGACTCCTAAGAGGGTGCTTCCCCGATTACTACAATCTTAACCTTTCTCAGATCTAGGGTTGACTTTTATATTACCCACTTATCCGCATATACTGTGCTTATTACAGTTTAACCCTCTATATCGATTGGCTCTCGGGCCTTGTACGGGATGAATATCATTGTAAAAAAGAAAACAACAAAATCTCTACAAAAACGCTCCGATACACAAAGACTAACTTACTCGGAAAGCTCTGCGTGATTGGATACTGGTTATGTACTTGTTAGCTAAGTCACTCCATTTGAATGCTGTTTGGGGTCTGCGTGGGATAAGAACGCACAAGCACGCAATGTGCCAACTCACTGTCCACCCTATCCAAGTGCTTTGTCATCATGAAGAAATGAGTCACGGTTCTTTTGTCCGAACTATAAGAACTGGGGAAATACTGACATCATCTGTAGCAGGCAATTGCCATAAAAATGAGGTGGGCAAATTAATTATTAATTACACTGAGTTCTTATTTAGGCAGTACCTCCCACTATTACAAATGGTGAAGATAAAACATTACGGATTCATTGATCGAGCCATAATTGCTACATTATTTACATTATTTGGACTATTGTCCTCATCTTTGTCGCCATATCTATCCCAACGTTTCGGCCGTTGTACGCTCCGGACTTCTTCAGTAGAATGTCGAACTGAACCCTTTATTTCGTTCACTGGGGTAGACTGTTCTAGTATCACGCGCCATGTTTGATGGATGTCAGTTATCAGTTATCTCCTGCTAATTTCCCTCTGAAAGTTCTCCACTGCCTTAACCGGGTATTGAACTCACACTCTTTGGGTCCTGTCACTGGATCTAACAAACGCCTTTATCCACTGTGACATCTGGGTATGAATTTCTGTGTATGATAAACCTAATGTCTTCAGCAACCATTTTTACCAGTACTCATATTGCAATTTTGCTGTTATCATTGCTTTTCTCTGGCACTCCTTATTACTGGTTCCCATATTGTATTTATTTCGATGCTTGCTGTCTTGCTGTCCACTGTCGTTCTCATAGTCCACCTGATGTCTGTAAGATGAGAGACCTGGTCAGCCCCGTTCTAGATTGTCTCGACTATGTCCTTTATCCGAGTTTGTTGTCGAATCCAAGTGTTGCTCTTCATTTTAAGTTGAGCCATTGCATGAGTCTCTGCAGTGATGTTGTTGAGCAGCCATATTCCACTTCCATAAGTCATCATCATCACCGGAAGTGCATTTTCGTTAAACAACTTCCTCTTGGTTTCGATTGTTGACTTGAGACTTCTCCTGATGCTATAAAGTCTTTCAGAAAGCCGCCTACTTCAGCCCCGGAATTAGGGCACCATCTCTTGCAATCTTCTTTCCGAGGTACGGATAACTGCCGACAATAAAAGGTGACGGTTTAACGTGGCTGTTAATAAAGTGGAAACAGAACTGATTTTAAAATAGTTCAGTGCGAATTCAATCCAAACGCCATGACAAGGCTGAATTCTGTCGTGTCCTGCCTGTGTAGTTTGCGGGGAAAAAGGACAATTGTTTTATTATTAGATTTACAATGACGTGCAGGAATGGGACGAATGTCGGGAAGGAAAACGAACGAGGAAGATATGCAAATTGCAAACAGGGTTATTTTTCGTTTCGTCATCAATTTTAACGATCGGCTTTCTGATGATGAGTTCATGCAAAATATGAGGGACTTTTGGTTCAACATTTTGGAAAAGTCCAATGATCCTTATTGACCTGAGGGTCAGTTAATATTAGATTTTCCTTACTCTTTCTTAGTCTGTTCATATCTATCTATCTATCTATCTATCTATCTATCTATCTCTGTTCGTATCTATCTATCTATCTATCTATCTCAGTCTGTTCGTATCTATCTATCTGTATATTTCTTTCTTTCTTTCTATTTCACTCCGTTCGCATCTATCTATCTATCTATCTATCTATCTATCTATCTATCTATCTATCCCAGTCTGTTTCTATCTATCTATCCCAGTCTGTTTCTATCTATCTATCTATCTATCTATCTATCTATCTATCTATCTATCTATCTATGCCTTTATCTCTTATCAATTTATCGTTAATCTACCTGTAAGTCTCTTAGACATGCAAGTCATCCTTAGAATAATCGCTAGAAATAGCTAAAATAGTAATAAAATTTGCAGAACAATTATGTCAAACTATACAGAGAGAGAGAGAGAGAGAGAGAGAGAGAGAGAGAGAGAGAGAGAGAGAGAGCGATGGGTAAAATGTCGCCATTTTATATTTTTAATTTCGCGCATGCGCGGTGTTTGTTTTTAATTATTACGCCAGCACTGTATATTAGGTTCCTGTCGGAGTAGTTGATGCGGTTGTAGTATCTGTTCGGTATTGGAGACCTTCTCTTCTCTCTTGCGTCCCCCGCTACAGTTGCATGACATTTGTTACGTAGCGGTGGTGTAGGACAATCTCTGAGCAGCTTAGACAAGCTTAGACCAGCGTCACAAGTGGAAACACTCGGGTCCTCACGTTCAAAACCGACCTTGTTTCACAACGTGACTCAGTAGGGGGGTGTTCATGGTAAATCTCGATCAGTAGAGAGGAGCTCTAGACTGAGCCAAGCTCACGGCAGGCTAGTTGGACTCTATGCCTTTGGGCAGAGTTAAAACAAGACGAGGCCATGCCTTCGGGAATTTTTGCCCGATCCTACGAGCTCGGAATCGCCCTGCATAAAAATCGGCTTTGTGTCACATCCTGCCTTGTGGGGAGGCTTTGGTAAACACCAGGAGATATTCACTGACAAAAACTCTGAACCTTTACGCATACCAGACTAATGAAAGAAAAGAAAGATGTCCTAATTTCATCATTCAATATCCAGACTCTTCAGAAAGTCGAGACAATCCCTGAGCTAATCGCCTCAGCTGAAGCTAGAAAACAGGATATCATATGTTTGCAGGAACACAGATTTCTATACGAAGAGCTTGCATGAAAAGAGCAGATGTTCGGAAGCTGGAGACTGATTACCTTCTCTGCCTGGAACAACAGTGTAAATGCAGCCCTCAAGCCTAAAATACTCTTGGAAATGTCGAAAAGACAACATTATAACGAGAATAATGGTAGCTACCCTCAAAAATATCAAAAGGAACTTAAGTAACGTTGAACATAACAATGAAGAAAGAGAAAAATTTTACCATAGTTTTTATGTTCCCGAAGGTTTTATTTCTGCTCTTAGTTTATTAAATGATTTGATGAAAATATTTGTTGATCTTGGAATATTCAATCGGGTTATTTTTAAAGATTTAGGGTCTGATTGTTAATGCAAAAATAGTATTTCTTAATAAGAAGACCAATATATCATCTTCGTTTAAATACGAATTGAGAGGTTTATACGATTTTATTTTGAGAAATA